TGAGATGTGGCTAGTGTTGAGAAACTATCTTAAGTTGCTTTTAATTGAATTATTTAAAAAATTTTTTTAAAATATATTTTATTGATTTTTCACAGAGAGGAAAGGGAGAGAGATAGAGAGAGTTAGAAACATCGATGAGAGAGAAACATCGATCAGCTGCCTCCCTGCACATCCCCCACTGGGGATGTGCCCGCAACCCAGGTACATGCCCTTGACCGGAATCGAACCCGGGACCTCTCAGTCCGCAGGCCGACGCTCTATCCACTGAGCCAAACCGGTTTCGGCTTATTTTAAATTTGAATAGCCAGCTGTAGCTAATGTCTGCCTGATGGGACAGGGCAGGTCTAAACCCAGAGAAAAACTTAGCTTGCAAAAGTACGAATTATAATAAAAATGGAAGGTGGGACTCAGTGTAGCTCTCCATTTATGTACTCATGGATATGTTGATGGACATAGGAAGGAATAATAAAAATGACTATAAGACATCCTTGTATTTTCAAACTGTTTGGCTTCCAGACTGGTGTATTTTGTATATTGAATGTGCTAAGCTTTTACATTTTAATGCAAAAAATAGTTAACTAGGTATTCATTGGAAGGGATTAATTCATTCAGATAACATTTACCAAATATCTATGTTCCAGACACCACTGACCTGTTTTCTGTCACTGTACAGTGGTTTGCATGTTCTAGAATTTTATATAAATGAAATTATACATTACGTTGTCTTTTTGCATGATTTCTTTCACTCAGAATAATGATTTTGGATGAAAGTTAGTTTCTAATACTGAATAGAATTCCATTATGGACAGACTATAATTTATTTAGCCATCTACCTTGATGAATATTTGGGTTATTTACAATTTGGGGGTATTACAGTAAAGCTGCTATGAACATTCTTGTGCAAGTCTCTGTGTGGAAAAATGTTTTCGTTTCGCTTGATAAATATCTGAGATGGTATTTATTGACTAGGATGGTATTTAGCATTTAAGATGGTTGGGTCATATGTCAGGAGTGTGTTTAACTTTACAAGACATTACTTGTTTTCCAAAACGGTGGTATTGTTTTACATTCCTGCCAGCAGTGTATGAGAGTAAGTCTTTAATTTTAGCTAATTTAGTGGGTATATAATATTGTTTCATTGTGTTTTTTTTTAATTTATTTTTCAGTTACAATTGACATACAGCATTATATTAGTTTCAAGTGTACAACATAGTGCTTAGACATATAACTTACAAAGTAATCACCCTTATAAATCTAGTACCTTTTCCTTAATTTCAAATGTGTTTTATTTCATGGAGCATAGTTATAATAGTTGTTTTAAAGTCTATGATAGTTCAAACATCTAGATTATCTTGGGGTTGTCATCTCTTTATCATCTGTTTCTTTGAGAATTTGCTCACATTTTCCTGATTGTATATTGCATAATTTTGGAATTCTCAAGATTGTGAATGCTATATATATAGACTCTGGGTCATTCCAGAATCTTCTGGGAAATGTTAATGTTTTTATTTTAGTAGGTAACCTGTTTAGGTTCAGACCATAAGTTGTTTTGCCTTTTGAGGGCATTGGTTCAATATCAGTTCCATTCTTTGAGTCTTTGCTATGATAGTTTAGGTCTGTTTTGTACATAAATAGCTCATGGGTTAGTCTGAGACTTTTTTTTGGGAGTTTCAAAACTTGTTTTTGCTCTCAAAGCTTTTGATACATTGGTTTGGGTCCATCTCACACTAGTAGCTCAGGGGTTGGTCTGAGACTTGTACATTTGTTCAAATCTTATTTCTCTTTTCTAAGCCTTTACAAAAGCTGGTTTGGGTATGCTCCAGACATACATAGCTCAGGCTAAGTTGTGATTTGTGTGGATTCATACCCAAAATTATGGGATCCTTTTTTTGCCTATCTCTTCTCTATGACTCCCCCCACCACACACACACTCTATAGGTATCCCTCTTCCTGGTTTCTCTGGCCAGAAAGGTGTAGATTCTATTGGAATTTAGACTGGCCATGTTGCTCTGCAAGTGGGGTCCACCCTTGTTGCAAAGCCACAGGTGAGGGGGGAAAACTAGGAAACACACCCTCATTTTTTGACTCTTCTCCCCAACCCACGTGATTTTACTTACTTTTCAGAGTCCAGAGTTCTTAGTTATAATTAGCAGGAATGGTGGGCTTATGCCACTATGCCAGAACCAGGACTTCTTTGTATTAAATTGATAATCTTAGAGCTCATGTGCAGAGAGCTGAAAATCATTCTGCCCTTTTTGTAACATTTGACATTATCAGTCCCTGTTATTTTTTCTTTTTTTTATTTCTTTTTTTTTTATTAAATCTTTATTGTTCAGATTACATTTGTTCCTCTTCCCCCCCCCCCATAACTCCCCTCCTCCCAGTTCCCGCCCCACCCTCCGCCCTCACTCCCCACTCACTGTCCTCATCCATAGGTGCACGATTTTTGTCCAGTCTCTTCCCGCATCTCCCATTCCCCTTTCCCCCCCAAGAATAGTCAGTCCATTCCCTTTCTATGTCCCTGATTCATTATAATCACCAGTTCATTCTGTACATCAGATTATTTATTCACTTGATTCTTAGATTCACTTGTTGATAGATGCATGTTTGTTGTTCACAATTTGTATCTTTACCTTTTTCTTCTTCCTCTTCTTAGAGGATACCGTTCAGCATTTCGTATAATACTGGTTTAGTGGTGATGAACTCCTTTAGCTTTTCCTTATCTGTGAAGCTCTTTATCTGACCTTCAATTCTGAATGATAGCTTTGCTGGATAAAGTAGTCTTGGTTGTAGGTTCTTGGTATTCATCACTTTGAATATTTCTTGCCATTCCCTTCTGGCCTGCATAGTTTCTGTTGAGAAATCAGCTGACAGTCGTATGGGTATTCCCTTGTAGGTAATTGAGTCTCTTTCTCTTGCTGCTTTTAAGATTCTCTCTTTGTCTTTTGCTCTTGGCATTTTAATTATGATGTGTCTTGGTGTGGTCCTCTTTGGATTCCTTTTGTTTGGGGTTCTCTGCGCTTCTTGGACCTATAAGTCCATTTCTTTCACCAGGTGGGGGAAGTTTTCTGTCATTATTTCTTCAAATAGGTTTTCAATATCTTGCTGTCTCTCATCTTCTGGCACCCCTATAATTCTGATGTTTGTACGCTTGAAGCTGTCCCAGAGGCTCCTTACACTATCTTCGTATTTTCGGATTCTTTTTTCATTTTGCTTTTCCAGTTGGGTGTTTTTTGCTTCTTCGCATTTCAAATCTTTGACTTGATTCTTGCGCTCCTCTGGTCTGCTATTGGGTGTCTGTATAATATTCTTTATTTCAGTCCGTGTATGCTTAATTTCTAGTTGGTTCTTTATCACAGCATCAAGGGTCTCATTAGATTTCGTGAGGCCCTCATCAAGTTTATTGGCAGCTTCTAGCACATTATTGCAAGCCCTCAAAATTGTGTTTTTTAGCTCTATATCCTCCATTTCTGTCATGTTTTTTTGTCTCCGCATTTTTTATGCTTTCTTGGTGCACCCCCTTGTGGTCTTTGTGCGCAGTCTTGTTCTAGTTAAGCCTTGATTGTTGTAGTTAATACTAGAGGGATTTGACCACCAGGCCGACTGGCTGTGAGAATCACCTGTGTCTGCCGTGGGAAAACTTCTGTCCTCTGGAGAGGTGCTAATCTAGCCTTTGCCTGAGGCGATCCGGCAAATGGCTCTGCGCAGGGCTTGGGGCGGGGGGATCAACAGGGCGGGCGGAGGGAGCAGTTATGGCTGCTCTCAGTCCCGTTCCCAGAGGCTCTGCTTCTCAGAACCCCAGCAACCGCTGCAAACCTTGGAGAGAAAGCTGCCCTCATGTTCCAACTGATGCCAGACAATCCCGCGTCTCCTGTTTGAGTCTGAGTCCCTAGAGACTCGCCCGGATCTGGAGCTCAGAGTCTGAGACTCCCTCCTGATTGAAAACGACAACTGCGCCCTCAGCCACCAGCCCGCTTTGCATGCGCACCTCCGTACCTTTGTATTTTCCACACTGCGCCTCCTCTGAGCCTCGGTATGCTGTTGTCTTTCCTTCTAGTTGAAGAGTCTCTCCTCAGCCAGCCTTCCTGTGGTTCTGGGTGATGTCCGTTCCGTCTTTTAGTTGTATTTTTGAAGTGGTTGTTTGCGGCAGCAAACTCCGGTGTTTACCTATGCCGCCATCTTGGTCTCTCTCCCTGTTATTTTTTCTTATTCCCATTTCCATCCCCTTCCTCCCAATAGACAACCATGTTAACAAGTTTGATATTTACCCTTAAATAGAGGGGTGGGCAAAAATAGGTTTACAATTGTGAGTATGCAAAATACAGAGTTTATTTTTATACTAGAGGCCCGATGCATGAAATTTTTGCAAGAGTAGGCCTTCCTTCCCCCGGCTGCCGGCACCGGCTTCCCTCTGGCACCCAGGACCTGGGCTTCCCTCTGGCCCCTTGCAGGCACCCGGGACCCAGGCTTCCCTTGCAGCCCTGGCTTTGTCCGGAAGGACGTCCGGTCTAATTAGCATATTATGCTTTTATTATTGTAGATAATTATTTAGTAGTTATTATATTTTTCCATTCAAACAATTGTGAACCTACTTTTTTTTTAGATTTTTAAATTGATATTTAGAGAGAGAGAGAGAGAGAGAGAGAGAAACATCAATGTGTGTGTGTGTGAGAGAGAGAGAGAGAGAGAAACATCAATGTGAGAGTGAATCATCCATCGGCTGCCTCCTGCACAGCTCCTACAAGGGATCAAGCCCAAAACTCAGGCATGTGCCCAACCAGAATGAAGCCCAATCAACTGAGCCACACCAGCCAGGGCTGTAAACCTACTTTTGCCCACTCCTGTATTTATGAATTCTTGCAAAATAGCTAGTAATGTTTACATGTGTATTTTTTTTTATACTTACTGAATTGACATTGTACTATAGATCTTGTTCTGTTTCTCTTTTCATTCAATAGTATGCTTTTTAGCCCTGACCAGTTTGGCTCAGTGGATAGAGCGTCGGCCTTCGGACTTAGGGGTCCCAGGTTCGATTCCGGCCAAGGGCATGTACCTTGGTTGCGGGCACATCCCCAGTGGGAAGTGTGCAGAAGGCAGCTAATCGATGTTTCTCTCTCATCGATGTTTGTAACTCTCTATCCTTCTCCCTTCCTCTCTGTAAAAAAAAAAAAATCAATAAAATATATATTTTTAAAAATAGTATGTTTTTTAGTTATGTTCATGTGTGAAATGGTTTATTACTTCTATCAATTTTACTTACATAGTTTCTTAAGAATGGTCATCTGTCTTTCTTCCAACTCCCTGCTCCTTAAACTTCTATCTTTAATTCTTACCAGCTATACCTCTAAAGTGTTATCTTGAATATGTCAGCTTATCTTTACTACAAAACCTTATAGTTCATGCCCTTATCATCTCATCCATACAACTTCCTTTATTCATTTTTTCTCCATGTATCATCTTCCATACAGCATCCAGAATGACCTTTCTAAACCATAAATCTAAAGTGGCCTTACACTTAGTAATCAGCCAAAGACCTTGTATACATATGTACCTAATCCATGGATGCAGACAGTGGGGTGATGAAGGCCTGGGGCAGGGGGTGGTGGTGGGCTGGAGGGGGTGGGGGGAAGGGGAAGGGGACATATGTAATACTTTCGACAATAAAGATGGAAAACAAATAAATAAATAAAAACATTAAAAAAAATAATAAAGTGGCCTCACACCTTGACAACTGTTGTTCTCCCATATCCTGAGCCACCTAGAAGATATTTTGTAGTTAATCATTAAGTTTGTTAATGACATACTGACTTGTCTTGGATTTGGGAATTTGGGTCCAACTGTATATCAGATTTCTTAGCCAGCTTAACTAAGACAAGATGGCACCCTTCCTTTAGCTATAGGAGCTAAGTATCATGTTGCCTAAGTAAGATAGGGTAGCTCTGACAGGGTTTAGGGAGAAGGCACATGGATCAAACTAGGGCCTACAAACTGTTCTGTTCCTTTATTCTCAGATATATTACCTAGTTACTGACCCTCTGAGAAATAAGGAGACCTGGATATACCTGGTTACAGATCCAGGGGATCTTCTGGCCACAGAATACCCTATTATTTTAGACTACTTTCTTTTCTTGGATGAATCTAGGAAGGAATGCCTTCTTAGGCTGCAGAGTATTCATTTATGTGAACAGCTTACTCTTTCGGGTTATAATGAAGTATAATACTAGTTGTATGTGTTGTGTTAGATCAACTGTTGTAATTGTTTGAAGATTATAATCTAAATTGTTTTATTATCAGACTTCTTTGTTTTTACAAAGGTAACCAAGTTGGTTATCTTCTTAATGATATAAAATAATTAATAGGAACTTTATTCCACACCCTCCTTTACGGTATATATCTTTGTGTCATATTAGTAGCAGGACCAAGTGCTCCATAAAGGATAACAGTTTCCAGTACACTATTCCTCACGATGATTCCTTCAGCGGCTCATCATCTGCCTCGTCATGTGAACCAGTAAGTGATTTTCCAGCAACCTTCCGAAAATCTACCTACTGTATGAAGATGAGAAGGATCAAGCCAGCTGCTACTCCCCATGTTGAAGGTATCATTTTCATAACTTTTTAAAAATGTTTTTATTGATTTTAGAGAGAGAGGAAGGGAGAGGGGGAGAGAGAAACATTGATGAGAGAGAAACATCAACATCAATTGGCTGCCTCCTGCCTGCCCCTTACTCGGGATTAAGCCCACAATCTGGGCATGTGCCCTGACCAGGAATCGAACCGGTGACCTCTTAGTCCATGGGTTGACGTCCAACCACTGAGCCATACTCATTCTCTGTATCTTATTCCCAAGACAGAGCATTCTCTAAAGTTATATTTTGAGGTAGCTGCTATACGTGGCCCTTCGAGTATTAAGTACCACATACGTGTTTCTTGTTAGTGATTAATTTTTTTAAGGCTATCACATACTGTTAACTTTGGGAATGGTCTCTCTGTTTTATAGAATAAAATTTGCTGATCTTACTCCTTTAGGATATATCAATCTTTCCTCTTCATGATTTGAACCTCTTTCCCCTTGTTCTAGTTTGATCCTCTGCTGAGGGTTTAGGGGCTGGTTTTTCTTGATATTCATAATCTCAAGGGTCCTTTGTAGCCCATTATTTTGAAAACTTCTGCCTCAGTGTTACCCTCAGATCAAGATGAAACAAAGTGCCCTGCCTGGAGGCTCTTATTATCCACAGGGAGCTCTTCATCCCTTGTGATAGAGAGCAATACAAAAGGAAAGGGAGGTTAATGAAGAGCTATACCAACTTCTTTAACAATGTCACGGGCATTTCTGAGGCCTGTGCTTGCTAACGCTTTTCCCCTGGAGCGGTTCTCAACCTGTGGGTCGCAAACAATGAAAATACATCCTGCATATCAGATATTTACATTACGATTCATAACAGTAGCAAAATTACAGTTATGAAGTAGCAACGAAAATAATTTTATGGTTGGGGGTCACCACAACATGAGGAACTGTATTAAAGGGTCGCGGCATTAGGAAGGTTGAGAACCACTGCTCGAGGGTCTTGTGAGTGATGTTTTGAAGGCAGGCCCAGATGTTCACTTCTAGACCCTACTTAGGTCTCGTGTGTATGATATTTCAGGGTCAGGTGGAGTATCAACCAAAGGAAAAAGGAAACCCAGGCAGGAAGAAGATGAAGATTATCGAGAATTTCCTCAGAAGAAGCATAAGCTGTATGGTAATGGAGTAACTTGGCTAGTTCTTTTTCCCTTGGGTACCTGGGCTTTACTCTTTGAGGGAGAGAGACTTTAGGGTTTGGCCCTTGAAACACTTTTGAACCCTTTGGATTTTTAGGCAAGGCATGGCTTCCATCCTGCCTTATTTTACCCTCATTTTCCTTCTGTCATGATTTAAGGAATCAGTTGGTTAAGGGACTGGGGCATAGGGTGTTGAGGAGAGGAGGGAAGAGATTTTGGTACTAGAGAAGGGTTAGCAAAGGTGATATGTTGGGCTTCAAGTTTCTGTCTTGCGTCAGGGAGGAAGCAACGGCCTAAAACTCAGCCTAATCCCAAATCCCAGGCTCGTCGTATTCGGAAGGAACCACCAGCTTATGCAGCAGGTATGCTTTCTGTTGGAAGCTTTGTGGGATCTAGTTCTCTCATTCTGATTTTTGTTGTTATTGTTGGTAAAGGAATGATGTAGAAAAGCATTTCTTTAAGAAGGCACAGGTAATAATAGCATGGGTTTGAAGGTCAGACAGACCCTTGTTCAGGTTTTGGCTCTTCATTAATTTTCTCATCTGCCTCAATTTAATTTCTGCAACCTTCAATTTCCTTGACTCTAAATAGGGATAATAAAGGCAGTCAGAACTGTGAGAATTAAATGGGATAAAAACATTTAACAAAGTCTCAGACATAGGAAGCACTCAGCAAACTGGCTGTTACATATCTCAGTATCCCATTATTAAATGCTGCTATGAAAAATGTTGCCTGTTGTCAGTTATATCTCAATAAAGCTGGAAAATAAATGTTGCCTAGTTCTTTAAGCCATTGGGATTTGGATGTTTCTTTGATGTTTTTTAATCATGGGGAATTGAGTAGAAGTTTCAGAAACTCCTCACTTGTCTGAAAAAAATTATTTCTAGAAGTTATAAACAATAGGAGACTCTTCCCCAGGAAGGGGAAAAACCATTTTGTGATACTTTTCCTAAGTGCTGGAATTGTGCTTTTTGTTTCTGGAGAGTACCACAGATTATATCATGTTCTTTTATCTTCTTTGTAGGCAGTTTAGAGGAGCAATGGTACTTAGAAATTGTGGATAAAGGCAGTGTCTCTTGTCCTACCTGCCAGGCAGTGGGGAGGAAGACCATAGAGGGCTTAAAGAAACACATGGAAAACTGCAAACAGGTTAGATATTTTGTGGCATTTCATGACTGTTATATTATGATCTTTTACCCAAAGTTGAGACATCTGGCACTGTGTTGGGTATGCTGATTACCATGGAGAAGAGGCAACATTGGGTCATAGGGAAAACATAGGCTTTGGACTGTGACAGACTTGGGTTTCAATCTTTAATCAGCCACTTACTAGTTGTATCATTTAGCTTTTTATGTGTGAGACTTGGTTTTCTCATTTATAAAATAGAAATAAAATAATTACTACTTTGGGTAGTTTATTAGAGGATAAGAAAGAAATAATACATGCTAAATTCCTACCCCATTATTTGGCAAGTATTGGCACTCAGTAAATGGTAGTTTCTGTTTTTTAAGAAATGAATTGCCTTTAATTCTTTTTCCTTGAGGATGTGACATGGAGCTTGTGGGATTTTGAGATTTATTGACTGTTGAGTTTGGGAAATAAGATACAGAGGACAGCATTTGAATAGGACTTTGTGGCATTCTTTTTCTCTGTTGAATAGTCTGGCACTGAGCAGTATTTTTTCTCTGTAGGAAATGTTTACTTGCCATCATTGTGGGAAACAACTTCGTTCACTGGCAGGGATGAAGTATCACGTCATGGCAAATCATAATAGTTTGGTAAGAGTGTCTTCTGTCCTACATGAGCCTACGTGGTGTTTGGGTGTCTTAGATGAGTATAGATAACTCAGCGGAGATGGCTAAGGCTCTGGGACTTTACAGGGGTGTGAGTAAGAAGATCCTTTCAATAGAAGACCTATGTACAATGAAACCTTTGTGGTGGATATATTGGTATTTGTGTGTTTAGGTTAGTCCCAAAGGTTCATACCCTGAGAGGTAGAGGCTTAGAACTCTAATTTCCATTACATTCACTTCCTTGTCTGTCTAGGTCTAGGAGATAGAGAAAGCCAGGAGTCAGATGACATAGGCTTCATGGGCATCAGCTTAGGTGCTAGTCTAGTCCTTGATTCTTCTACGAAATAATTTTTTTCTATATCTGTCTTTTCCATGAATTATCCGCTTGTTTGCTTCTCTTGCTTTCTAGCCCATTTTGAAGGCCGGAGATGAAATAGATGAGCCAAGTGAGAGGGAACGGCTCCGAACAGTTCTAAAGAGACTGGGAAAGCTCAGGTGCATGCGTGAGGTAAGAACCCGAGGACAGCACCTCCTTCTGCCTGGAGTCTTAGGTCCATGTCTACCTGTTACTCTCTTCCATTTCTCCTCCTCCTCCCTTGTAGACCTGGTTCGGTATCATCTTCCAGCGTAAGAGTGGCTCCCGCTTTTCCAGGTCTCCTGAACTCATTAATAGGTCTTTATTTTCTTTCTCATCTCCAAAAAATTATTTTTTTCCCTTTATACTTTGTTTGAAGGGGTTTCTTTGCCACCCTTTCTTTGGTGTGACGAAGAGATCCTAGTAACCTCACTGTGAGAAACTTTGATATTGCTGGGTATTGGATATTGGATCATAGACTAAGGAGGAAGCTCTGACACACAAGAGGTGCACAGTTCTAGTTTGTTAAATGTGGACTGAACATTGAATGTGATGCTTGGTGGTAGACAGAGCAGCCGTTGGGCCAGAGACAAGACGGGGGTGTGCCAATGGGAAATGCTGGAGAGGGTCTAGTGACATCAGAGGGTCTATTTGTGTGAGTGGTGGTTGACTGCCTGTGGCTGTGGAGAAATTTAGAGATCATGTCAAAAGATATAAGATTATAGTTTCGGTTTCTCTCCTGTGTTCAGAGTTGCTCTAGTAGCTTCACCAGCATCATGGGATATCTGTACCATGTCAGAAAATGTGGCAAAGAGGCGGCGGAGCTGGAGGAGATGATCTTGAAGTGTCACCACTGTGGGAAGCCGTATAGATCGAAGGCTGGGCTTGCGTATCACCTGAGGTCAGAGCATGGGCCTGTGAGTACTGATTACTTTCCAGACCCTGTTTGGGGATATATTCTGTGGTAGCTGTTTAGCCCTACATCTTTTCATACATTCTTGGTTCCTCGTTTGTATCCTCATTTAATTATGAATGCTTTTGTTCTCTTTTCCTTGTTCTTCCTTTGTTCTCTTATTTCTGCCTTTTGAATATTCTTAGCTTAGAGAAATCAAAGTTCATTGTACTGTCTAGGCAGAAGTAAACACATTATTATTTTTTAAAGCTTAAGGCATTCTGAATCCCTTAGCTAGAAATTTGTGGGAATCTGTCCGGCTGTTTTCTATATTCCAATTTATTTGTCTTGACTTTTTTTTCTGATTACATTTCTACATTCCCCTCACCTCATGTTTGTTTTAAGAGTTACGTTTCAAGATATAATTTACATATGGCAATTAATATTCACCCTTTTGGTGTACAGTTATAAAATTTTTTTCAACTTCATAATAGTCATGTAACCACCACCATAATCAAGATATAGAACAATTTGATAATCTCCCCCAAATTCCCTATGTCTCTTTGTAATCAGTTCTTCTCACCATTCCCAACCCCTGGCAACCACTGATCTAGTTTCTGTCTTTATAGTTTTGCCTGTTTTAGAATATCATGTAAATGGAATCATGCAGTATGCAAACTTTTGAGTCTGGCTAATTTCACTTAGCATAATGCATTTGAGATTCATTTATATGTTGGCATGTATCATTAGTTTATTCCTTTTAATTTGTATCTAGGATTCCATTATATGGATGTCTCACAATTTGTTTATCCATTTACCAGTAGAAAAATGTTTGGTTATTTCCATTTGTGGGTAATTATGAATAAAGATGCTATGAACATTTACTTAAAAGTTATTGTATGAGCTGTGGCTGGTGTGGCTCAGTGGTTTGAGTGTTGTCCCATTCACCAAGATTGCTGATTCAATTCCCCGTCAGGGCACATACTTGGGTTGTAGGCTTGGTACCCAGTGGGGGGAGTGTAGGAGGTAGCCTATAGATGTTTCTCTCTCTCCCTTTTCCCCTCCCTCTAAAATCAATAAAAACAAAAAAAAAAGTTATTGTATGACACTGTTGGTGGGAATGCAAACTGGTGCAGCCATTATGGAAAACAGTATGGAGTTTCCTCAAAAAATTAAATATGGAACTGTCATTTGACCTAGTGATCCCACTTCTAGGAATATATCCTAAGAGTTCTGAAACACCAATCAGAAAGACTGTACACACCCCTATATTCATAGCAGTGAAATTTACAATAGCTAAGATCTGGAAACAGCCTAAATGCCCATCAGTAGATGAGTGGATAAAAAAGCTATTGTACATTTACACCATGGAATACTATGCAGCAGTAAAAAAGAAGGATCTCTTACCCTTTGAGACAGCATGGAGGGACCTGGAGAGTATTATGCTAAGTGAAATAAGTCAGTCAGAGAAAGATAATATCACATGATCTTACTCATGTGGAGTCAAATGAACAAAATAAACTGATGAACAAAATAGATCCAGAGACATAGAAGCATGGAACAGAGGGGAGGCGGGGGAGGGTGAGTTTGAAGAACTTGTATGCATGTATGCATAATCCATTGGATACAGACAATAGGGTGGTGAAGGCCTGGGGGGTGGGGTGGGGTAGGACTAGAAGGGGTGAATAGGAGGAAAAAGGGGACATATGTAATAATTTCAACAATAAAGATTTTTTTAAAAGTTACTGTATGAAAATAAGTTTTAACTTTTCTTGGGTAAATACTTAGGAATGGAATTACTAGGTCATATGATAAATGTATGTTTAACTTTATAAGAAACTTCCAAATTGTTTTCCAAAGTGGCTATGCCATTTTGTCTTCTCACCAGCAAAGGATGAGAATTCCAGTTGCTTTGCATCCTCCTCAGCACTTGCAATTGTCAGTTTCATTTAAAAAATCCATTCTGAGGTATGTAGTGGTATTTTACTGTGGTTTACTTTTGCATTTCCCTGATTTAATGATGTTGATTATCTTTTCATGTACTTATTGGCAATGTCAATCTTTAGTGAAGTGTCTTCATTTGTGAAGGGTCTGTTAAAATCCTTTGTTCATTTTATTATTTGAGTTTTTGTTGTCTTACTATTAAGTTTTGATCATATTCAGAGTTTTTTACATATTCTGGACACAAGTCCTTTATCAGATGTGTTTTGCAAATATTTTCACCCATTCTGTAGCACTTTTCATATTTTATAGTGTTCTTCAAAGAGCAGATTTCTTAATTTTGATCAAATACAATTTATTTTTTTTTCTTTTATGGATAATGCTTTTGTTTTTGTATCTAAGATATTTTGCCCAACCCAATGTATAATTTTCTATTGCTGCTGTAAAAAGTATCACCACAAACTAATGGCTTAAACAATACAACTATATTCTCTCACAGTTCATTAGGCCAGGAGTCCAGGTACAGTCGGTTCAGCTGGCTCCCCCTTGTAGAGCCTCGCCAGGCTGGAATCAGTTTCATTAGGGCCATTCCTTTCTGAGGCTTGAGGGGGAAATCTGTTTCTAGGCTCCTTAAGGCTGTTTAAGAATTCCATTCCATGCAGTTGTAGGACCCCATTTCCTTGCTTGCTGTAGGCCAGGAGTTGTTCTCAGCTCTAAAGGCCACCTACATTCTCTGGCTCATGGACCCTTCATTTTCAACAACAGTATTGAGTTTATCGCATTCTTTGAATCTCTCTTGCTTCTTCTTCTGTCACATCTCTCTTACTTAAAGTCAACTGATTATGGTCTTTAATTAGATCTATAAAATACTTTCACATCAGCACCTAGATTAGTGTTTGAATAACTGATGACTGCAGCCTAGCCAAGTTGACACATCAATAAACCATCAGACCCCTAATATGATATTGTATGCTAATTGTAACTGAAAAATACATTTAACAAAATTATACTTAGGATCACCAAAAATTTATCCCTTGGTTTCTCCTAGAAGTTTTGTTGTTTTATGGTTTACACAGGGCTCTTATCCATTTTGAGATAATTTTTGTATATAATGTGAGGTAAAATGTACATTAAGATGGTGGAGCTTTATGATAGTGATTACAAGCTAATAATAGCTCTTTTGCTATTGAGAGTAGAAAGGACGGCCTTTAATCACCTCTTATGGAAGACACTTCTCAGGCTTGTGTTTTGCTATGTTTTGTTTTTGCAGGTCTTTCCAGGGTCAGGACAGCCAGAGTGCTTAAAAGAGATGAGCCTGGAGCCAAAGAGTGGGGGCAGAGTTCAGAGACGTTCTGCCAAGATAGCTGTGTACCACCTGCAGGAGCTGGCCTCTGTGGAACTGGCCAAGGAATGGCCTAAGAGGAAGGTTCTTCAGGATCTGATACCTGATGACCGGAAGGTAAGGTAGAAACTTGTATTACTTTTGAAGGAGTATGTCTGTTACTATGCTTGTTACATACAGAAGAGTAAATGCACATGAGTGAGTGTACAATAAACAATGCTTTGCTTCTTTTTTTAATTTTATTTTTTAATCCTCTGCCAGGGACATTTTTTCATTGATTTTTAGAGAGAGTGGAAGTGAGAGGGAAAGACAGAGAGAAATATTGATGTGAGAGAAACACATTGATTGGTTGCCTCCTGCACGAGCCCTGGCCAGGGCCGAGGCCGGGGAGGAGCCTGCAACCAAGGTAAGTGCCCTTGACCGGAATTGAACCCGGAACCCTTTGCAGGCTGATGCTCTATCCACTGAGCCAGAACTGGCTAGGGCATATTTTGCTTCTTTATCCTTGGAATTAAGTACATTTGATCCAGCTCTAGTGTTTCTGATCATGTAGGTCTTAGAGAAACAGTATGTTTCAGAAGCTCCTTTAAGGAGCCTCTTAATTTTGGACCATTCCCGTGGGTACCTAAATTCCCAAATTAATTTTTGCTTGGTCCTTGCCTAATGTGTTTCCACTTTGTTAGTTCATATGTAGTAGTTTATATTTAACTGAGGTAAATGCTAAACGCTTGATTAGGGTGTGTTGTCCAGTTTTTTCCATGGCAAAATTACAATTTTCCCCTTTCTAATTAGTGAATATTTTGTGGAGAGATTGAGACTACATAATTAACCTGTGTTTTATCATACTTCTACCCACTTACTGTAGCATCCATCAATGATTCATGCTTGCAGCAATTATTACTGTGGTGTTTGCTTAATGATTTTTTTTGTTTGTTTCCATCATTTCTTCTACAATTATTAAGAGACAGCTCTGGCCGAATTCGGTTTGGCTCAGTGGATAGAGCGTCGGCCTGCGGACTGAAGGGTCCCAGGTTCGATTCTGGTCAGGGGCATGTGCTTGGGTTGCGGGCACATCCCCAGTAGGAGATGTGCAGGAGGCAGCTGATCGATGTTTCTCTCTCATCGATGTTTCTAGCTCTCTATCTCTCTCCCTTACTCTCTGTAAAAAAATCAATAAAATATATTAAAAAAAAAAAAGAGACAGCTCTGTTCTTTTCTTCTAATTTGTTTTATATGAGTATAGACTCATGGGTATTTATTTTATTCAATGGCCTATGATTCAATGCTATTATTATTTATTTTGCTGCTCAAATTGCCCCAGATTTGGCCATCAAAAGCTCTTTTTAACATTCCCCTATCATTTTTAAAAAAATATATTTTTATTGATTTCAGAGAAGAAGGGAGAGGGAGAGAGAGATAGAAACCTCAATGATGAGAGAGAATCATTGATTGGCTGCCTTCTGCACACACCCCCACTGGGGATTGAGCCTGCAACTGAGATATGTACCCTTGACCAGAATCAAAACCTGGGACCCTTTGGTCTGCGGGCTGATACTCTATCCCCTGAGCCAAACTGGGTAGGGTAGTTTCAGGAACTTTAAAGGGTCTTACATATTACAATTTTTTTTTTTATATTAAAAAATACTTGTGGAACTCCACAATTACTTGAAGAGTTGGGTTGAAACTTTTGGGGTGTTTTGGAAGTTGGATTCTTCAATAAAATCTTTCTTATTTTGTAGTTAAAATACACTCGCCCTGGGCTACCTACCTTCAGCCAGGAAGTACTACATAAATGGAAGTCAGATATCAAGAAGTACCATCGTATTGAGTGTCCTAACCAGGTGGTTCTTTCTCATTCATTTATTCAGTAAATGTTTATCAGGCATCTGCTGTGACAAAGCCCCTGAACCTGAGCAACTTCACATCAATTATTTTATTGTTCACAATTCTGTAATAATTTTGTCAGGCCTGGGATAGTTTTCCTGCTGTACATGGCATCAGCTAAGATCACTCATAGGTTGCATTCAGCTGGAAACTCAGATGGGACCTGAATGTCCAAAATGGCTTCTATGCAGCTAATTGATCTGGAGCTTGGCTCTCCACATGGCCTCTCTCTCTAGCAGGTAGTTAGATTACCAGCAGAGTACATATTCTAAGAATATGAAAGTGGAAGCTGAAGATCTCTTAAGACCTAGTTGCAGAATTTGTTCAGCATCTCTCCATGGCATTCTATTGGTCAAAGGAATCACAGTGCTAACCCAGATTCAAGGAGAGGATAAACAGACTCCACTGTTTGATGGGAAGAGTGGCAGAGAATTTCCAGCCGTCTTTAATCTAACTTACCTATATATACAGTACTTTGCAGAGGAGTAGATATATAAGAAATAGAAGACATTTGCACTAAAGAAAGCAGATTTTTTTACAAAATCTGTGTAATTTTCTATGTTTAAGTATCAGAAAAAGTACCAGGGATGGGAATATGTTAAGCTTTTGTAAACAACTTGTTTACCTTTTTATCTTTTTATTTATTTATTTTTACCGTTTGTTGGTTTTCCTTCTTGCTTTTGTGGCTTGCATGTGAATTCTTTTCCTGTTTGGTTGTGGTATAAACGTAAGGTTGGTCATAGTGAACAACCAGATTGCTGAGAGAAGGATGCTCTTTTGTATAGTCCTCATGTTGTTTTTTCTTCTTTTTTTCAGGGTTGTGAGGCTGTCTACAGTAGTGTATCTGGCCTTAAAGCTCACCTGGGCTCTTGTACTTTGGTTTGTAACTTTCTGAACTATTTATCTTAACATGACTTCTGAACTAGAAGAGAATTCAGTTTAGATGAACAGCTAATCGTCCTGTTTTCTGTTGTCTTCAGAGGCTGATTTAGTTTTTTATGTCCCAAAGAATCTTGGTCTATTATTGGGTGGGATGCCAGGTTATGTTCAAAGTGCAGAAAAGGCCAACATAGCCATAAGTTATATCAATTGAAGAATTTGGAGAAAAATATATTCTGAATCCCTACCACACTGGACCTGACCTGTCTTATTGGGCCTTAAACTTTCTAGAGTCAGTTTACATGCACTTAACTGGACTAGTGAAGATCCTTAAATGCATCTGAACTATACTGGCCTCTGGAGGTGGGAGGTGGGAGGTGGGAGGTGTGACCCAGGTGCCCTACAACCCACCAGCCATGGGGATTGGTGCCACTTTCCAATCCCTTTTAGAAGTATCTCTTCACACAAAATGAACATCATGGAAACACAAAGTATCTCTTCACACAAAATGAACATCATGGAAACAAAGCTTCAGGAGGGGAGCCTAACCAGATCTGTCCAGGAATGCTGAAGAGCTGGTCGTCTTGATCTTAGTTTCCGAGTCCTTAAAACTCTGTGTTATGGATGACACTCTCCTAATCCTGGATTTCTAAGGCACTCTTTGCAGCAATGGAGTATATTGGGGAGAATTATACTTTGGTGCCTATAGTGAAGTTCAGAAGTTTGATAATTTTGGGGGAGGAACCAAGAGAACCTTGGAAGTGAAGTAAATAAGAGAAGATAGAAAGATGTGACATGTCACATAATAAAAGTAGGATTTCAGGTTGTGTTGAGGGGGTGGGTGGTTTTGGTAGAGAATTGCCTTAGGATAGATACATAGTGGTGGTAGTCTGCCCGAGCTGTTTTTCCTAAATATATTGCTGTTTTGGATTTTCTTCCTTCTTACCTTTGCTGAAGTAGAATCCCTTCTTTTCATCAATAATAGTCCCTGCATGTGGCCCAGGTATGTGTTCCTGAGTTTGTCAATAATACTCTTTTCTTTAAAACAGGGAAACTTTGTGGCTGGAAAATACAAGTGTCTTCTATGTCAGAAAGAATTTGTGTCAGAGAGTGGTGTCAAGTATCACATCAACTCTGTCCATGCTGAGGTGAGGGTCCTGCTTTCTCACAGTGTTTTTATTTTCTAATCATATTTCCTTTTCCCATACATACACCATAGGAGAGATGGATTTTGTGTCTGTTTTTGTGGGCTAGGACAGTCAGGGAAAGTAAAGTGGTCACCAGAGACATTGGAGTTCAATCCAGTTAAATCAGGCATTTGGGAACCAGGCTGAATTTACACCTTCTTATTTAACAGCAGTCTCTCTACTTCCATTTTCTAATATTCTTAAAAAAAAAAAATTTTTTTTTTTTAAATTGATTTCAGAGAGGAAGGGAGAGGGAGAGAAAGATAGAAACACCAGTGATGGGAAAGGACCATTGATCGGCTGCCTCCTGCATGCCCCACATGGGATTGAGCCTGCAACCTGGACATGTGCCCTGACCCACAAGCGAGCCATGACCTCCTGGTTCATAGGTCGCCACTCAACCACTGAGCCACATCGGCTGGGCTTCTAATACTCTAACGTCTTTGAACGACCTGTTTTTAATGCTACTTAAAATACCTCATGGAGCCCAGCTGGCTGATTGATGATTCTCTCTCATCGTTGATATTTCTATCTCTTTCTTCCTTCCTCTCTGAAATCAATAAAAACAAATTAAGAGAAAATAATAAAATAAATACTGCATAGAAACAAATATAAAGGACACTGAGACAATTGAGGAATTTTGAATATTAACTATATTAAATAATAGCAATGTGTCCATGTTAATATTTCAAAATGTGATCATTGTAGTTATGCAGAAGAACACCCTTGTTCTTAGGCAGATACATGCTGAAGTATTTAGGAATGAAGTAACATGTTGTCTGCAACTAACTTGCAAAATGGTTCAGCAAAAAGAAGGAAGGAAGGAAAAGAGAGAGAGGTGAACAATGATAAATCTAGGTGTTCATTAAATTAATAACTTTTCTGAAGATTTGTAAATTTTCAAACTAAAAAACTCTGTGTTTTGCCCTAACCATGCCTTTTTAAATTCTTCCCATACCTCTTTATGCTTTCCACTATGTTTTGACTGGATACTGTTTCTATTTTGCCTTGTAGGATTGGTTTGTTGTAAACCCAGCAACAACCAAAAGCTTTGAAAAGCTGATGAAGATAAAGCAGCGGCAGCAAGAAGAAGAAAAGCGGAGACAGCAGCACAGGAGCAGGAGGTCTCTGAGAAGGCGGCAGCAGGCTGGCATGGAGCTTCCTGAGCCAGCAGAGCTGAGTCTTAGAGCAGGGAAAGATCAGAGGAGGAATAACGAGGAACTGCTAGTGTCGACCTCCTGTAAAGAACCAGAGCAGGAACCAGTGCCAGCACAGTTCCAGAAAGTAAAGCCCCCAAAGGCTAATCATAAACGAGGAAGGAAATAGGCAGTCAGTGTGAGAGCGCTCCTCGGAGAGTGGATGGATGCTCTTGTCACGGGGACCTGTGCTGGAGGACTGAGTTATGGGGCTGAGTGAAGAGAAATGTCCTCTTTCAGTTGTTTGTGAAAAGCTACAACTTTCTCAACTCTTTTCTCCTGTATAAATTTCACTGTTTTCCCTGCTTATTCACTTTGACAACCTCCCTTCCCCAACCCTTTTTTGGTAGGTTTTCCTGCTATTCCTCATTGGAGTCTATTATTTTTCTCTTATCTTGCCCAAAGAGCTCCCTCTTAAGGCCAACCATAGGCCCCTCTTGTCCTGTACAAGACTAAGAAAACTGGTTGTTCTTTTCTTCCTGGGGTGTAGAATGTTCTTGGAAGTTCTATTGATTTAGTAGTCTCCATCGTCAAGTTTATAAAACAATTCCACATTAAATTTTTAAAACCATACTGATTAATCATTTTGTATTTGTGCTATAACATGCCTAGAAGCTAGAATAAGATTACCCTCTTTGGGAAACAAACTTTATGGAGGTTGTTCTCAATATGGTTTTAGTATTGAAAGAAAGAATGGGTTTAGGATGAAAAAGCTAGAACTTCCCTACACTAATTCTACTGGGAAGTGTTTTGTCTGCCCCAAGTAGCAGTGACTAACTAGACCCACAGGCATAAAAAAGCAGCCTTAGGACTAGTATGTACCAAACATTAAAGTGGCGGGAAAGAAGAAACTAGAAGAAGCAATAACTACTGCCTCAACTTCCCTGGCGCTTGAGGCCTCCTCATCTGTCGTCATAATCGGTGCCCTCCTGAAGTTTGTTTTGTCCTCTCGGTTCTAAGGATTGAGAAATAACCAGGTTGATTGCCCCTGATTTTTTTATAAGAATCCTAGTGTTCCTGGTAATGCCACTAAGATCAGTAGCCAAGACACTCGTTCGTTCTCTCCTGGACTTGACCTCACTTGCTAGTCTACACCCCACTAAGTCCTCATCCCTCCCTTTAGTCAACCTCTGTCTGAATTTTCTGAGAATATTGCTGTCTATCCTCTTTTATGTGTGTTCTATCGTCTTTAATCTTGAGACTTTGACACCAGATACCGATATTTATCTGGAGTTGGAAAGAAAAATTCTTTTTCTGTACCTCATGTCTAACTGATGTCTAATGGGCTGTTAGATGTTTTGAAATAAGTGAAGGACATGGTATATCCACTGTACATTGTCATTTGCAGTTGTGCTCTTAGAGCCCTTTCAGTAGATGAGGATTGTCAGGAAGAAGAAATGAAGAAGCTATATTAATTTGTGGTAAGACTTGGGAAATGTTTGGCAATGACAAAAGAAATAAATGACTCTTAGATTGATGTTTCCAGTTGTTCATTGACTCCGACCTGCTACAGTAGGTCCTCGGGTCACATCGGAGATCCGTTCCTACTGCGCGACATAACTCGATTTTCGCTGTAAGTCGGCACCCACCTACATAAGCACCTATGTCACTCACATGGAGCACAGACACAGCAGTAATGAAGTGAAACAGTAAAAAAAAAAAAAAATTTTAAAGAAAGATAACAATTCCTGACCTTTACTTGTGGTAAATAAATAATAAACAGCCGAAACCGGTTTGGCTCGGTGGATAGAGCGTCGGCCTGCGGACTGAAGGGTCCCAGGTTCGATTCTGGTCAAGGGCATGTATGTTGGTTGCGGGAACACCCCCAGTAGGGGATGTGCAAGAGGCAGCTGGTCGATGTTTCTCTCTCATCGATGTTTCTAACTCTCTATCCCTCTCTCTTCCTCTCTGTAAAAAATCAATAAAATATATTTAAAAAAATAAATAATAACAAAGCACATATGTACATACGTCGGAACATTTTTTTTTTAATAAATAAACTAGAGGCCTGTTGCAGGAAGATTCCTGCAAGAATAGGGCTTCGCTCCCATCTCTGCCGCTCCTACCCTGCCCTTCTCTGCCGCTCCTGCTGCCTAAAATGAATAATTTGAGATTAAAGTGAATTAAGTATAGGAAACTTGCCCAATCTCATGCCAGGCCCTTAGAGGCATTCTTTGTCCTTTTTTTTTTTTTTTTTTAAATATATTTTATTGATTTTTTACAGAGCAGAAGGGAGAGAGATAGTTAGAAACATCGATGGGAGAGAAACATCGATCAGCTGCCTCCTGCACATCTACTGGGGATGTGCCCGCAACCCAGGTACATGCCCTTGACCGGAATCGAACCTGGGACCTTTCAGTCCGCAGGCCGACGCTCTATCCACTGAGCCAAACCGGTTTCGGCGGCAGTCTTTGTTCTTACTTGATTTTAGAGAAAGGGGGAGAGATTGACGTGAGAGCAGAACACCAGATTCACTATCTGGGATGATAGGAATTAAAACTAAACTGAGATGAGATAGAAGTTCTCCATTCCTGAGTTAGATAATTGGGCCAGCAATGGCAGGAGGGGAATTAAGAGCAGAAGAGTAAAGAGTCTAATATCAGCCTGGGTGTATATTTTCCTAGAGTTTTTGCATCCAGAGAGACTAAGGTTCCAAATTTATCTTGGATACCATGCTTTTCAAGTGCCATCTTTCTGTACTTTCAACTCATGAATTGAAGTATTCAGTTTAAGGTACCTGCATGTTATCTAAAGTCTTCTGCATTAAAGTTGCAATTTTATTATTTGCATACATACTAGTAAGTATAAGATAGCAAAAGTAATGAGAAAAGTGATGAAGTAAAAAATATATTGGAACAATAAAATCAATGGGTAAATTATAGTCCAAGTAGGCTTTTATTTTTTAACAACAAATTTGTTTAATAAAGAAACTACATATTTAACAGAAACATTAAAGCTAGAAGTTAAAGGTACATTAAGGGAGAGACCTTTGTTTAACCAATTTAAAGGAATACATTTTACATATAAATAAGAATTCAAAATTATTTTTAAGTTTTTTTATTACTGATAATTTCTGGAGAACAAAGTTGATTATATTTTCTCATAGGGGAGCAATGTTAAAATATGAGGTTTTATTAGGATTCAGCATTCAAAAAAATCACTGATCTAACCATCATATAAGTGCAAAAAAACCCACAACAAAAAAAACCCTACCCTAAATGTCTACAGTAATTTAAAATACTATTCCCAGTTCTATTAAATAGGCCTAAATATATGGCACATAATAATTACAAACAGCATTTAATGTATTAAGTGCATATATAGTAAGAAAATATATATAGTACTATATTTAACACTAAGTAATTTTACTTATCATCTTAGGATTTAGGATGTTGCTAGAGAAATAGATGGCATGAGACTTTAAAAGTTATCCAAAAATTTAAAACTTTAGGAAAATGATAACATTTTCCTAAAACAAGCAGAGGCATTCTGCCACCTCATTAATTCTTGAGGTATTTCTTCACAATAAACATTTTCAAAAGTAAAAGCTGAGATATGTTCCCTTATTTTCTCAAGTCACTCAAAAGCTAAAATTGTTAAGGGCTGCATCAGACAATAGGTCACTCTGCAAAGTGTTGATCTTGCCCTTATTAGAGTACTTTTTCCCTCATGAAAACTATAGGAGCTACCTGGCCATTGGCACAAACTTAAAAAAAAAAACCCTTAAAAACACTGCCTTTGTGTTCTGAGTTGGCCAGAAGGAATGAGGATAAACTTAGATTGGTTGTTTACAGAGGAGAAAGCTCTGAAAAGTCAATCTGAGATGCTATCCTGAAAGGTGATTTTTCTTTTTTTAAATATATTTTATTTTTTACAGAGAGGAAGGGAGAGGAATAGAGTCAGAAACATTGATGAAAGAGAAACATCGATCAGCTGCCTCCTGCACACCCCCTACTGGGGATGTGCCCGCAACCAAGGTACATGCCCTTGACCCGGAATCAAACCTGGGACCCTTCAGTCTGCAGGCCGACGCTCTATCCACTGAGCCAAACCGGTTAGGGCTGAAGGTGATTTTTCTATAAAGAAATCTGACTCAGCTAGATGAAATAAATAATGCAACTATTTCCTTTCACTTCCTCAAGGTGGTTTTCTCAACCTTGTTTTATGTATGAGTGTCTGGCAAATGGTTTTAGGTTATCTGGAGGTTTGAGGAACATCCTTATTAACAAGAGCTAATTAAAAATCTAAGGAAAGCTGGTTCACACAAGTATCTAGTAGTATGGCTGGAAAAGAACATCTAATCCTCCACACTAACATGTCTTGATGGATATTCTACCACAGCAATGAGACCCAAAAGCCTTCCTAACCAGATTTGTGCAGCACCTAAGGAATACTTTTCTAGTCCTTAGCCAGTGATATTTAGGAATTACTGTGGATTAACCTTGATTTGGGGTCCCAGGGAAAGGGTTCTTGTGATTTTTGGAGCACCCTGTTGCAGTAGTTGCCTCCCTTAAATTAAGCTCTCCATACACCACTGTTCCTGCTGCAGCTGTTGCTTCTGACTTTTTAGCAGGCTTTGAGCACCTGCAACTCCTGGCATTGCTGAGACTTATTCCTTCTGTGACTGCTGGTTCTCTGCGGATGCCACAGTAGAACTCAGAAGTATGCCTCTCTGCTACCACCTCCAAGGCCTGGGCCTTCCTTTTAAACTTTGTTTTTCTCTTTCCCAACAGCCTTCTGTCTGGTTCACTCAGTTGTTTCTCCAGTAATGCTTTTTTCCTAAAGGAACTGGGCCTGGATTTCCTGTGCCGTTACACCTGTCTCATCGTGAGCTTTTTCTCCTCCTGTAATGTGAGTTTCTCTTCCTGTTTCTCCTTTAATAGTGATATCCCTCATTGCCAGCAACTGCTGCTTCAAAGTGGATTGAATCTTTTCCTTCTCCAAGAGCTGTTTTAAGCTCTCAAGTTTGCTCTGCATATTTGAAGTCTAACTCTTGTCTCCTTCGTTCAATCTCCCCACTTTTTAAAAAAATATATTTTATTGATTTTTTACAGAGAGGAAGGGAGAGAGATAGTTAGAAACATCTATCAGCTGCCTCCTGCACATCTCCTACTGGGGATGTGCCCACAACCCAAGTACATGCTCTTGACCGGAATCGAACCTGGGACCTTTCAGTCCGCAGGCTGACGCTCTATCCACCGAGCCAAACCGGTTTCGGCTCCCCACTTTTTTTTGGTACATAGTTGTTTCACAGCTTCTGAAGTTGCCTTCTATACTCAGTTTTGTTGGTCAGTTATTCCAGCAAGAGTTTATTTTCAGCCTGGACATGTAACTTTTCATTGATTAGCTGCCTGTTTTCCTGCATTAGCAGTTTTGCTGGATTTGATCTTCTTTTATTTGCTTGTTCAGCTTTATCATTTCCATTGTCCATTAAAAAAAATTGATTTCAGGGTGGGGGTAAGGGGAAGAGATCAACCAAAGGACTTGTATGCATGCATATAAGCCAAACCAATGGACACAGGACAACCAGGGGGGATGAGAGCATGAGTGTGTGTGTGTGGGGGGG